CAAAAGGTTTGCTCAGCGCTGTACAACATAGTGGGGGACAGTACATGAGACAATACAGTAACAAAACAATACACGAGGGGTTCGAGGGCCCTGCTCTTTCGAGCTTACAATCCTAGGAAATTCACGTTTAGGAGCTGTTCAGCATTTTTTTTCAGCAGACCCTGAGCTCACCCTAATGTTTTCCTATGTGTCCATGTACAAATCATTGTTTACAGTCGTTTACAGGCATTTGAGTTCACATTCATTTTTTTGAACGCAGAAAACTTGCGTTCAGCAGTCGATTTTATCAGCGTTTCATACGCTAAAGGCTTGTGAACGCAGTAAATCGCGTTTATAAGCATTTTAAATTTTTTAAATTGTTTTTAACTCTTCCAGTTCCCGATGCTGTCCAGAGCCTTTTTTCATCATGAAAAATGCATGCAAAGTGTTTTCAAGGTACTCAGATGGACAAAACACTGAACACAGGATGTTCCTACCAAGCTTGTCAGACATTGTAATGACCAATTCACACCCCAGACCTCTCCCACCCTTGGAAACAAAAGATATGTTAATGACCATTCACACCTCAGACCTCTCCCACCCTTGGAAACAAAAGATATGTTAATGACCTTTCACACCTCAAATTCCTCATGAAGACCCCCTGCCAGGTGGCCTTAATGACTCCCTCCACCAGACACCTTTCCCACCCTTGGAAACAACAGAAATGTTAATGAGCAACTCACACCTAAGATAATCAACACATACTGCTGCCTCTGCTTCTACTCTCTGTATTTCTCTGAAACAGTCTGAAATAGTTAATACTTTAACACTTTTCAGTGCATTCTGGGCATTTGGAAGGTCTCCTGTGCTTATCTTTGAAAAACGTTTCTAAACGCAAACACGCATAAACGCGTTATGCAAACGCGGTTAAACAGACGTTTTTAACCTACATTTTCCAGCAGTCAGTTTCCATCGTTCAGAAGTGTCCCGTGTACAGTACATGGGGCCTAACAGCTCTCTACGCCTGCCAAGTCACTTAGTAGGGGTTTCACTTTCTTTTTTGGATTTCTCTTTGTTTAATATTGTGCAGACTGGAACAGAAGGAGTGAGACTCGCTGGCCGACTGCAGGGTCAGAAACTTTGGCTGGAAAGTATTGACTGCTGGAGCCCTTGAGAGATTATTTATTTCAGGTACCTATATAGCGTTGTCAATTTATGCAGCGCTTTACATATATATTATACGTTCACATCAGTCCCTAACCCTCAAGGGGTGTACAATCTAAGGTCCCTAACTCACATTTATACATACACATACTAGGGACAATTTAGACAGGATCCAATTCACCTACCAGCATGTCTTTGGAGTGTGGGAGGAAACCCACGCAGGCACAGGGAGAACATGCAAACTCCAGGCAGGTGGTGCCGTGGCTGGGATTCGAACCAATGACCCCAGTACTGCGAGGCTGAAGTGCTAACCATTTAGCCACTGTGCTGCCCTATGATTATGGCATTGAAAATCTCCAAAAAATAGTTATAATAATAAAAATAAATAGGGATAAAATAAAAGATTACAGAATGAAATATGGCCAATTATGAAACGTTCATGCAGATGTTTTGGCTCATTAGTCCTCCTCCGTGCAAGATGTGAAATCTTTGGCCTGTGTAGGACTTTTGCCTGGTCATACCGGTGCGATTTCAGGTGTGAATTGAGAATTGAAATCGCATCTAATCATCTAATAATGTGAATGTTGGTGTCTTAACATGTGCGATTTGCTGCAGCACAATTTCTAAAGTAGTTATCTTGCATTACTTTTTCTGCAGTTTTGTTGTGATTTCACATACGTAGAATATAATGGAAATCGCACTGCAAATTGCAAGAAATTGTTGAAAATCTTCACAAGTACTCTCCGCTCCTCGCAAGACCTCCTAATCTCTCTAGTTCCCTTGTCTCCTCCTCCCATGCTAGTCTCCAGGACTTCTCCAGAGCTTCCCCCATCCTCTGGAACTCTCTACCCCAATTTATCAGACTATCGCCTACTCTGCTCACTTTTAGGCGATCTCTGAAAACCTATCTCTTCAGGGAAGCCTATTCTGCCCTCAGCTAATAATGGAATCTTCTACTCTTCCAACCAGTCCATCCCCCACAGTTATTACCTTTTGTACCACTAGCCCCTCCCTCCTAGATTGTAAGCTCCAAGGATCAGGGCCCTCCTATCCTTCTTGTATTGAACTGTATTGTTGCTGTATTGTCTCCCGTTATATTGTAAAGTGCTGAGCAAACTGTTGGCGCTATATAAATCCTGTATAATAATAATGATACAGAGAAGAAACAAATCCTCCTACATAAGTTGTGCTTTTTTTTTTTTTTTTTAGTCCCGTCCGGCCCATGGATATAAACGACTGGATAGGGGCAGTGCAGGAGCAGGTTGCCGTTTATAAACGGTGCCCGCCATTTTGGACTGTGCGTGCTCCCTGGGAGCGCGTGGCATTGCGATCCGTTACCTGCTGTGTCCAGATCACCGATCGCTGTACGGGACCCCTGCGTGAGGTCCCGATCATGTGATCACTGATTGGCCAATCAGTGATCACATGAATAGTAAGTAAGCAATGTCAGAAAGTGAAATCTTGCTATGTGTGAAATCTGTGAATGATTACAGAGGTCACATGGTACAGGGCTATTCACAACAGCCTTGTACCATGTGACAAGCTGTGACCAATCACAGCTCTCACAGCATTTCTCAATGGCTGCAAGAATGCAGTCAGAGAGAAGGAGAAATGATTGCTTTTACGGCCTTTATGGGTGTAAAAGCAATCAGTGTAAAAACAACAAAAAAAAAAAAAAACAAATCATCACCCCCCCACAAGTAGTACAGTGTCACTATAGTGACACTGTACTGCTAGGGTGACAGTATGTTTAAAAATAAATAAATAATATAAAAAATAAAATACAAATGTAAAAAAAAAAAAGTTAGAAAAATTATTTTTGGTTATAAACTAATTTGGGTTATTTTTTTTTTACTAAAAACAGAACCGAATAAATATTGGCCAAGATTTATGAAGAAAGATTAATTTATTTGCAATCCAAATCCTGTATAATAATAACAAGTAGCAATAAAGTCTTCAGAAATCGCACCTGAAATTGCGCTGAAATTGCACACAAATCACAGCGGTGTGACCGGTGACTTAGAAAAGAATGAGATTGTATAGTCAGCCAGGTTACCATGAAGTGGCCCGAAGTCATCAAATAGCTCCCCAAACCCTGCAACAAATATAGGAGTTGCATTTTTTTCATAAGCATTCCAATGCACTTTTTCTTTTATGCATTTCTTTACAGTTCCCACGAGATGGCAGCATAAGGATGCGGGAAGGCTGCCCTCTTTTGCGTTCATTTCAAGGCGAGTAATAAAGGAGAGAGAGACTCAGAAATGTTGACTCTGGCCCTGCTATTTACACGCCTGACTTCAAAGGCTTCAAACAGCTGCTTTGTTCTGTGAGGCACTTAACCATTTGGCTGTTGTTGAAGTCCATTGACTATATACATTTGTTTGTATTTTTTACCTTTACTGGGGAAAATCCGCAGAGTATTGGCATGTTAACCCAGGAAACCGCACAAAGGGTGGCAAGTGCAACGTGCTTTAGGACTGGTCATTTAATGGAAAAGCTGTTAAGGCTCAGGCCTTTAGTGATCCTACCATACAGTTGTGCTTAAAAGTTTGCATACCCTTGGAGAATTGGTAATATGCATCCTGTACCATGAGTGAGCAGGCGAAACACATTTCTTGTATTTTTTATTCAGTTGTAGGTCATAACAGAATGGCACAATTATAAAACACAACATGGCAACAAGTAAAAAAAAAAAGAAATGACCCCTGTTCAAAGTCTGCATCCCCTTAGTTCTTAATACTGTGTGTTGCCCCCTTTAGCATCAATGACAACGTGCCATCTTTTGTACCAGTTGTCCATGAGGCCCCCAATTCTTGCAGGTGGTATGCCCATTCGTCTTGGCAAAATGCCTCCAAGTCTCAAGCCTCTCAAACATGCAGCTTGCATGTTTGTGAATGGCCCCTGGGACCTATCACGTTTCCCAGAAGACTACGGGGAGGGAGGGGGGGGTGGGGGGGGGGGGACAACTTCCGCTTCCGATCACCAACGTCCCCTTTTTGGGTGGAGCTCCGCTTTTAAGGACAGTTTTTTTGGTATTATCACTAATTTTTTTTCAATATCAATGCTAACAATTCAAGATTTCGGCCAGGGTATGCAAACATTTAAGCACAGCTGTATATAGCTATGGCAGATATTTTGTTAACCGATCCAAAATTGGATCTAACAAAATATTAGGACCTTGTGATATCCTTTAGGCACTAGATCAGTGGTCTCCAAACTGTGGCCCATGGTCCAGATGTGGCCCTTTGTATGCCTTTATCTGGTCCTTGGGGCACCATTCCTCCTACTGATACAAGGCTCTATTTCTCCTTCTGACACCAACAATGAGGCACCATTCTTTCCACTGACACCAACAGTGGCAAATAATTCCTCCCACTTCCAGTGACACCAACAATGGGGGATAATTTGTCCAATTGACACCATTGACGGAACACTATTCCTACCACTGACAACAACAATGGGACAATATTCCTCGAATTTATCACCAATGAGGGGGCACTAATCCTCCCACAGACACCAACAATAAGGCACTTTTCCTTCAACTAATATCAGTGATAGGGCACTATTACGGGGCAGCACAGTGGCTAGATGGTTAGCACTTCCGCCTGGTCGTTGGTTCGAATCCCAACCACGGCTTCACCTGCCTGGAGTTTGCATGTTCTCCCTGTGCCTGCATGAGTTTCCTTTGGGTACTCCGATATCCTTCCACACTCCAAAGACATGGTGGTAGGTTAATTGGATCCTGTCTAAATTGGCTCTATTACCATATTTTTCGCTCCATAAGACGCACCTGACCATAAGACGCGCCTAGGTTTTAGAGGTGAAAAAACAGAAAAAAAAATATTCTGCACCAATGGACTGCAGACATAGTACAGGAGATGACCAGAGACTGCGGACATAGTACAGGAGATGACCAGAGACTGCAGACATAGTACAGGAGATGACCAGAGACTGCGGACACAGTACAGGAGATGACCGGAGACTGCGGACACAGTACAGGGGATGACCAGAGACTGCGGACACAGTACAGGGGATGACCGGAGACTGCGGACACAGTACAGGGGGATGACCGGAGACTGCGGACACAGTACAGGGGGATGACCGGAGACTGCGGACACAGTACAGGGGATGACCGGAGACTGCGGACACAGTACAGGGGATGACCGGAGACTGCGGACACAGTACAGGGGGATGACCCTGGAGACTGCGGACACAGTACAGGGGGATGACCGGAGACTGCGGACACAGTACAGGGGGATGACCGGAGACTGCGGACACAGTACAGGGGGATGACCGGAGACTGCGGACACAGTACAGGGGGATGACCGGAGACTGCGGACACAGTAAAGGGGGATGACCGGAGACTGCGGACACAGTAAAGGGGGATGACCGGAGACTGCGGACACAGTTAAGGGGGATGACCGGAGACTGCGGACACAGTAAAGGGGGATGACCGGAGACTGCGGACACAGTAAAGGGGGATGACCGGAGACTGCGGACACAGTAAAGGGGGATGACCGGAGACTGCGGACACAGTAAAGGGGGATGACCGGAGACTGCGGACACAGTAAAGGGGGATGACCGGAGACTGCGGACACAGTACAGGGGGATGACCGGAGACTGCGGACACAGTAAAGGGGGATGACCGGAGACTGCGGACACAGTAAAGGGGGATGACCGGAGACTGCGGACACAGTAAAGGGGGATGACCGGAGACTGCGGACACAGTACAGGGGGATGACCGGAGACTGCGGACACAGTACAGGGGATGACCGGAGACTGCGTACCTTTTGGGGAGGGAGGGGGAGCGGGCACCTTTATTTGACAGGTACCCGCTCCCACTTCCGCAGAGTTGTCCTCCCTTTAGTGCGGGCACCCGGCTGATAGCCGGGTGCCTACTGCGCATGCGCGAAAAGCGCTGCGCTTTGTGAATGGCCCGGCGTCTTCTGAAGACACCGGCCATTCACAAAGCGCAGCGCTTCTCGTGCATGCGCAGTGGGCACCCGGCTGTCACAGCCGAGTGCCCACACTAAGGATGCCAGCGCTGGAAGACTGTACAGTGCTGGACCAAGGAACAGGTAAGGTCCTGCTGCAGAGAGGAGCTGAGCGGCCGGCCCTGTATTCTGACACGGTGGCAGTGGCGGAAATACCCAACCAGCTGCTCCATATTCGCTCCATATTCGCTCCATAAGACGCACTGACACTTTCCCCCCTTTTTTGGGGGGGAAAAAGTGCATCTTATGGAGCGAAAAATATGGTATATGTGTGTATGAAGTTAGGGACCTTAGATTGTACATCCCTTGAGGGTTAGGGACTGATGTGAATGTACAATATATATGTAAAGCGCTGCGTAAATTGAAAGCGCTATATAAGTACCTGAAATACATAAAAAATAAAAATCCTCCTCCTACTGACCAAAAGGACTATATAATTTTCTTACTCCCAAGCCGCTGATTGTTTATGGTAGTGGTTCTCAACCTTGAGACCAGGGCCTAGTAAATATTTCCCAAATCTTCCATGTCCCAGTAAAATAAAAGCGTATACTCACATAATAAAAGTATGAAAATACAAAATATGTACTGGAAGGCTCTGGATGGGACTGGGTGTCATTTCAGGGGATAGGGTTTGTGGAGGGGGTCAATGAACTCTGCAGCTGACTTAGAGGCCCTATAAGGAGGGAGCAGGGGACGGTGCCGAGCAACACTTTGTCTTATGGACATACAGTGCCGCCATAGCAAGAAGCTTACTCTGGGGGTACCCCGCAGGGGCGGAGGGACCAGGAGCTCCAGTGGGGAAACCCGAGAAGAGGAGGATCAGGGCTGCTCTGTGCAAAACCACTGCACAGAGCAGATAAGTATAACATGTTTGTTTATTTTTAATTTAAAAAAAAAAAAAAAAAAAAAAAAAACAGCTTTACAACCACTCTAAGGCCCAGGAGTAAGGAGGCCATGACCTGGCAGTGGGGCCATGGACTGGTGGCTGAGAATTAGCGGTTTATGGCTTTAGGTCTGGGAAACATTAGGTTTATTCTGTACCCAACCAACTTGGTATAAGTAGAAGATAAGGGTGTCTCTGGCAATTCAGAGTTTTGGAGGTCAAGGAGGTGACATACAGTTAGTGAGTATGTGGGGTATGTCATATGTTAATCAGTTTCTAAGCATAAATGTAAATAGTATGAATATATCCTGAAATGTAAACTATATATATATATATATAATAATATATATATAAAAAACATTTTTATATCCTCTATACATATCCTCTACCCCCTTTCACATCTCCCTCCCCCCACAGCCCCCCTTTCATTTCCCCCCAGGACACAGAGAACAAACAGTTAAGATTCAGAGACTTACACACAGCAGAGCAGAGCACTGGACAGTGGAACCGGAGCTGGCGCAGTTAACTCTTCAAGTTAACCAGCGGGTGATTGGTTGCTCGGTGGTCTGAGCAACCAATCACCAGCTTAATACAAAAAGTTAACTTTGGTAGCTCCCGCCCAACCCCCTTCCCCGTCCCGCCCCTGCCTCATCCAGTTCTTTGCTGCCTTCTTGTCAAGGTCCTAACTTTTCCCAGAGGTTATGTTACTCCATGTGCTGACATCCATCTTGGGTTTCTGCTGAGCATGGTGGGAGTCTTTTATGCCTTCAGGCCTCTGAGGTCCATCCCCCAGAGGGGTGTGGTTGATCACATATAAGTCTGTTGTCCGCACATGCCCTTTGCATTCGTGTCTTGTGTGTTAGTGTTGCAACAGCTCTGTGTATACTCTTGTGACTCTCCTGGAATCTGACTCGGCTTGTGACTAGACCATTCTCTGCGTTTTCCTTTGATCTGACCTCCCGTTGCTGAACCCGGCCTGTGACCTGTTATTCTTGTCTACTGTTCTGTACCGTTTGTCCCGTTGTTGTCGACCCGGCCTGCCCAACTACGCGATTGTCTGATCTGATTCCTACCAGTTACACGCCATTGGCGGCTATTACCGCAGCTGGGGTGTCTAGGGGGCCGCATGGTTCCTGGCTGCGTCAAGTCCATCCCCACCATCAGGGGCCCTGGTGAAAGGCAGCCTGGGACTTAGACTCCGCACCCTGAGGGACTCCGGTCTGTGGGTGGTGGTTGTCGTCAGTCAGTGCATGACCCTGCCTCTAGGCCTGCCTGTCCGTTCCACAGCTCCTGCCCTGACACTTCTGCTCTGGAGAATGACAGTGGGCAAAGGCTGGAGGGATAAATCGCCACCTGCCTAACCCCCCTCCTTGTATTCTTGATTGGTGCTGCCGACAGTGCCCTCCTCCCCTCCGACGTGGCACCTGGGACACACTTCAGGTTATTTCCACTCGCCTAATGCAAGCAGGTGAGTGGAAATTTTGAGGGCTGCTCACGCTTTGGACCAAGCTGGTACAATATAACTATGTATAAATTTCCATATGTAAACGTCAGTTTAAATGCAAGCAAATTTCCTCAAATGCAATTTTTTTATTCATGCAAAGCTGCAGCAGCACATGGATACGAATTATCTGCTAATAAATGGAATTTCTCCTTAAAAGGCCTACGGAAACAGGACAGCTTATGTATTTAATAAAATGTATTATTTTGTCCTCATATTGTTACTTCTCACCTACCTTCATTCCCCTGCTCATGTCATGGCATTGCCACAATGACCTGCAATCCTCTCGTCACTTGCACTATTATCACATGATTACATAGATCCGTACCTCCCACAAGACCAATGCATCCCTCATATAAAATAATACAGCTGGAGGTCCTTTCTCCTTCCACTCTCCATCTCTCTGGTTAGGGCTTCCTTCCTGTCTCCCAGTCATCACTCCTACGCTGTCACCTGCGGCCCTGTTGTCATACAATCAAGGACACGGTCTAACACACAATTAGCACACTCATTTTCTGAAGTACTCTGTACTACTGGAGGACATTGCTCCTTCAACCGTAAAGTGGCTTCTCACTTTATAGTCGGTGTACTAGTTTCTGAACTTTGATGTTAAAGCAGTTTGGCATTACTGCAAGTGACATCACTAATCCAAAACTAATCTGCAGCCAAGGAGTCAGAGCATGGTGCCTGCTCTTTATTGGATCTAAAACATGCATTTTTCATTCATATACAGCAAAATGTCCAGTCCCACTGAAATTTTACAACCCTTTTACCCCGCTGACAAAAGTTGCAAGCTTCCAATGGTCACTGGTTGCTCCATAAAGTCCACTTCCAAACATGAAATAAAGGAAGCCCCTTCCAAGAAAACCCTTGTGTATATTTATTGAATTTTTCCATGCAGTCGATCCACATGTTCCACAAGCCCTACGCGTTTCACTTGAATAATATGAACAAGCTCCAGATGGAGTGAAATGCGTTCTTGTGGAACAGGTGGATCAGCTTGTGCATGGAAGACTTCAATAAATATACACAAGGTTTTTAATGGAGAGCAGCTTCTTTTCTTTTGTGCTTGGAAATGCATTTTCCATTGTTTGGTTTCCATTTTTGTTTTTTTCCACTTAGAAAGTCATCTCTGGTAAGCCAACTGCAGAAATCATGAGTTGAGATTGTTCCCTTGTGATGCTGGTGACAGTGCGATGTGAGTAAAAAATACATTTTTACATCCTCAGTTCCTAAAAAGTTGGGATGCTGTGTAAAATCCATATAAAATCAGAATGCAATGATTTTAAAATCTCATAAACCCATATTTTACTCACCAGGGGCGGACTGACCATTTGGAAACTTGGGCACTGCCCGAGGGCCGGGGGTAAGTAGGGGGCCCCATGAGATGCCCCTGGTACCTTTTTCATAGGCTTTTTTGAGTTTGTGCAAGGACACAGGGGCCCCATGATCCCCTATTGCTTGGGGACCCCAAGAGTTGTCAGTCCGCCCCTGTACTCACAATAAAAAATTTTAAATATATCATGTTTATACAGACAAAAATGTGCCATGTTTCCCACAATGTAGTATGTCCCCTTCTTTTAACAACTGGGGAGACCAGTTGCTGGAGTTTTGGGAGAGTAATGTTGTCCCATTCTTACCTGAAATAGGATTCTAACTACTCAGTCCTGGGTCTTCTTTGTCGCATTATTTGTTTCAAGATGTGCCATATATTTTTAGTTGGTGAAAGGTCTGGGCTGCAAACAGGCCGGTTAACCCTTTGAGGACCAAGGGACGTATTTGTCCCATATTTTTAATTGCCTGTATCATCTGATTAAGAACTTAAAATACTTTTTTTTTTTATTTTATTTGAGTCAAAATATTAGTTCTTATCAACAAATGGATCTAGCTTTTTGCCAATTATTTTGTGAAATGGCTTTGTTACAGCAACTGAAGTATACAAACTTTAAAAACAAAAAATTGATTCTTTTGGCGTCCGTAATCTTATGGTCCTCAAAGGGTTAAACACATGGACTCTTCTACTACGAAGCCATGCTGTGGTCATAGATGCTTATTTTAGCAGGACAATGCTAAACCAAATACTGCAAGGCCTTCCCTGAAAAAGATGTAGTCTGGAGGAGGAGCATAAGCTGCTTTAAAATCTAGATCTATCTTTCAGCATTGATAAGATCCAGATGTGTAAGCTGCCCATTCCGTACGCACTAATGTACCCCCATACCATCAGAGATGCAGGCTTTTGAACTGAGTAGTAATAACAAGCTGGAAGGTCCCTCTCCTTTTTAGTCTGGAGGACACAGCAACCATGGTTGTCAAATTTTGATCTGTCTGACCATAAAACAGTTTTTCCACTTTGCAACAGACCATTTTAAATGAGCTTTTGCCCAGAGAAGATTGCGACTTTTCTGGATCATGTTCAGATATGGCTTCTTCTTTGCACTATATAGGGCAAACTGTGTTTATAGACAGTGATTTCTGGAACTATTCCTGAGCCCATGCAGTGATATCCATCACAGAATCATGCTGTTTTTGATGCAGTACCGTCTGAGGGCCAGAAGATTACAAGCATTCAATATTGCATTTCAGCCTTGTCCCTTGTGCACAGAGATTTCTTCAGATTCTCTGAGTCTTTTGATGATATTATGTGATGTAGATGATGATATATTTAAAGTCTTTGCAATTTTGCGTTGAGGAACATGATACTCAAATTGTACAACAATTTAGACGCTTTTCACAGATTGGTGAACCTCTGCCCATCTTTATTTCACACTCTGACTCTCTAAGATGCTTTTTTTTTTTTATATTCAATCATGTTATTGACCTGTGGACAATTAACCTAATTAGTTGCAAAATGCTCTCCCTTGTTAGTACCACCTATTTTGACAGCTTTTTGTTTCCCTGTCCCAACCTTTTTGAGACCTGTTGCTGCCATCAGTTTCAAAATTACCTTTTTTTTTTTTTTTTTTTTTCTCGAATGGTCCATTTTTTCAATGTAGGTTTTCTATTGTGACTAAAATATGGGTTTATGAGATTTAAAATCATTGCGTTTTTGTTTTTATGCAGATTTTCCACAGCGTCCCAACTTCTTTGTAACTGAGGGTGTTTTTAACACTCACATCTATACGATTGGGCTTTTTTTTTTTTTTTTTTTAAAGCGGAGCGCCACCCAAAAAGGGGAGTTCCGCTTTAAGCCTTTGTCTCCCGCTCCCCATTAAGTATTGGCACCTTTGGGGAGCAAGGGGGATGGGGACGGGTACTCAAATTTGACAGGTACCCACTCCCACTTCCGCTGCGATCGCCTAAATTAGGGTTAGGCAACCTGCGGCTCTCTAGCTGTTGTGGAACTACATTTCCCACGAGGCATTGCAAAGATTACAAAACTGACAGTTACAGCAGTTACGACTTGCAGAGGCATGATGGAACTTGTAGTCCTGTGGCTCTCAGGTTGCCTACCCCTGGCCTAGATGATCAGAAACGGAAGTCTCCCCATTAAGTATTGGCACCTTTGGGGAGCAGGGGGGATGGAGACGGGTACTCAAATTTGACAGGTACCCACTTCCGCTGCAATCGCCTAGGCGTTCGGAAGCGGAAGTTGTCCCCCCCTCCCCGTAGTCTTCTGGGACATGTGACAGGTCCCAGAAAATTATGGGTCCATTCACAAAGCACAGTGCAATGAGCACCCAGCTGTGAAACCGCAAGCTATCACAGCCGGGTCCCTGTAGTGAAGATGCCAGCGCCAGGGAGAGAAGACGGCCGGTGAAACCAGTGGTGGTGAAGACGCTGCTGGACCGAAGGACAGGTAAGTGTCTGTATTTTAAAAGTCATCCGCTACGGTTTTTGTAGCTGCTGACTTTTATTTATTTTTTGTAGGTGGAATTCTGCTTTAAGTATCTCAGATTACTTTCCAAATGCAACATGAAAAAAGTCTGCAGATGGGGAGAATGAATGACAAGAAGTGGTCGGGCTTGATGGAGATCCACTGGAATGGAGACTCTATGCAAATTCAACATGTTTTGAAGATTTCTGAGCAGGACCAATGTTTGGCTCAGGTCTCACATTAGTATAACACCTACCTGTCTCCTTTGTATGAAGGACACTCTTAGAAGGCAAAACCTGTGGCAAGACTTATTAGTGAGGATATCAACCTTCACAAATACACTTTGGTCACCTAGTCATCTCCTGTAGTCAGCTGACAACACACAGCATTTTTGTGGACTGATTGGTGTCAGTCCTGCTAAACTACTCAACCCACCCCCACTCTCAGATCTCTACAACTTAGACTAAAGCCAACCATAGTTCGATCAAATCTCAGCTGGTTCAGCAGGGACCAGCTGAGATTTGTTCCATCTGTGTCCATGCTGGTTGTATAAAGTCGATCCATCTATCAATTTCCGTGCAATCAGCTTGTTGGATTTTTTTGCCTGCAATTACTGCTGGCGGCTAAAACCACCAGCAGTGATCATTGTGCTCTGCTGGCAGGGAAGGCTCCTCGTCGACAGAACACAATAGCTCGGTGGGAGGGATTCCTCCATCAGCTTTGACTGTGTCGATGGAGGAATCGGGTAATCTTCCTTTCCTTCAACCTGTAGTTGCAAGAAAGGAATTCATATAATCTATGACCTAACCATTCTGTAGTTGAAGATATAGGGGGGAAGATGGATAAATGGCCTGTTTGAGATAAAACAGGAAGTGTGCAGAGGACACAGAACAGCTCTACATTACTGATAAGATAACCGGATTTATTTGCACTTCTCCAACAGGCAATACAAAAGGTTTCCAGTGGTATATTTAAAGTGTATGTAAATGATCATCTTGTACAACAACCCATTCAGTTTAAAATAGAAATGAAAAACAGTGTCAGCACTGTCTGATCAATGGAGGCAGGCTGAGTTCCAAGCACAGCTAGAGAACTGACCACGTCGTGTTCTCCTGCCTAGTGTAGTCAGTTTTTAATAGGAAAGCAGAGGAACTGGCAGGAACACCAGGGATTTCACTAAAAGGAAGCAATACAAATTGAACAGGAGATAGCACATATCAGGAATATGAAATGTTGGCTTTTCACGTTTAACAGACCAGATAAAAAATTCTTTGTTAGGTTTTGCATACATGTTAAGTAGAGTAAGTGGACTTTTTCATTCTCCTGAATTTATTTATTTCAGGTACTTATATAGTGTCATCAATATACACAGCGCTTTACATATATATTGTACATTCACATCAGTCCCTAACCCTCAAGGGACGTACAATCTAAGGTCCCTAACCCTCAAGGGGCGTACAATCTAAGGTCCCTAACCCTCAAGTACATACTAACCCTCATACAAGTCCCTAACTCACATTCATACATACACATACTAGGGCCAGTTTTAGACAGGAGCCAATTCACCTACCAGCATGCCTTTGGAGAGTGGGAGGAAACCCACACAGGGACAGGGAGAACATGCAAACTCCAGGCAGGTGGTGCTATGGTTGGGATTCAAACCAACGACCCGAGTACTGCCAGGCGGAAGTGCTAACCATTCAGCCACTGTGCTGCCCCAACTACCTACCACCATGTCTTTGGAGTGTGGGAGGAAACCAGGGTACCCAGAGGAAACCTATGCAGGGACAGGGAGAACATGCAAACTCCAGGCAGGTGGTGCTATGGTTGGGATTCAAACCAACGACCCGAGTACTGCCAGGTGGAAGTGCTAACCATTCAGCCACTGTGCTGCCCCAACTACCTACCACCATGTCTTTGGAGTGTGGGAGGAAACCAGAGTACCCGGAGGAAACCCACACAGGCACAGGGAGAACATGCAAACTCCAGGCAGGTGGTGTCGTGGTTGGGATTCGAACCGACAACCCTAGTACTGCCAGGTGGAAGTGCTAACCATTTAGCCACTGTCCATATGGTTTCACTTGTATTGCTTTATAAGTAGCCAGAAACATTTGCTTCAATTTCTATCAATAGATAAGGTAGGTGCAAGCAGCGGTTTGTCAGTTTTTAGGGTCGAGGTCTGCCTGGCTCCTGGGATTTGTTCAGAGGCAGAATGGATGTAGGGCCTGTGATTAAAAAGACCTTCCAGCATCAGATCAGCCTGTGCAATGGCTGAGGTCAAATTCCCCAACATTATCCTCTTCGGTCCAGTGGTTTAAATTGGCCACTTGTGACTAATGAGGAGCTCTCACATGAGCCTAGTTTGTATCGATGGTGTGTCACGTGGATTAGCCTTTTAAGCCCGGTCTACTCTTCTACTCTGAGGGGGATTACTGTCGCATTATGCAAGCTTTATGTACAGGCCTCAGCCGTCTGAGAAATTTTTACTTTTAGCCTTCAGAAGAACTCTACTAATTGTTTTTTGTGTCTGAACTGTCTATAAAACATACCCCATTATAATCTTAATAACTCCATTCCCACTTCTTTGGTAGAACTGCTTTTCATAGCATTGCCTGTCCCTGTAATTTCTACCTGTTCACTAAGGTAAGTGTTCGTTATTCTTCGTGGACTGTTCTCCTTAGCCATTTGCTGACCACATAATGCATATGTGCTGCGGCAGGGAGGATGGACTCCAATGTTGAATACAAGGATCAACGAGCGCACAAGACTCTGATGAGGTCAGCAGCAAATGCACTAAAAAGGAACCCAAAACCTTATATAAAACATACACAAAAAAAAAAAAAATCTGGTAAGAGCATTATTGTACTATTTCTTCACGGAACTTCCAGGAGTATATTGCACCAGTTGATCTCTATGGTATTGGAACACCTTCAGTTTTTCGGACTTATTTGTACCATACATGAACATTCTTTATGAACATATATTGCCTTTTGCTCTTTATGGTTATTACCACAACTTTAATTTCAGCGCTGCATTTTTTAAGAATTTTATACACAAAAAAATTGGTGCAGTGCATATGATTGGGTATTCTTTGCAAAGTAAGGCTGGCCATACACTATACAATTTTCTGTTCAATTTCTGCCCAATTTTCTTTAGGTTTACCTTCAACTATGTAGTGCAAGGGCCTGCTTAACCCCCCTGGCGGTATTCCCGAGTGTAGCTCGGGGTAAAGTTTCAGCACCACAAGCGGTATCCCCGAGCTACACTCGGAAATACACTGCAGCGTTGCTCTGGGATCTCTTCTTCACTTACCTTGTCCTGCCCTCCCACGATGTCCCCCCTGCAGCGTCCCCTGCAATGTCCTCCGGCCAATGCCGGCATCCGTTCTGTGTTCCGGTCCCTGCGAGAGTCGGGACGTAAATAAATACGGGGGGCGGAACCGGCGGCAAATTTGAAAATTTTAAAAACTGACATTTTCTAATGAACTAAAATCACATAGTAAAACATTGCTGTTTCAAAGCATTTCACATACATTTTGTCCCGAGTGCTTTGTCCGGCGCCCTGCCTGCGTTTTTACCGTTTTTTCTGCCTGGAAACTGAGAAACGTCCATGGCGTCTAAAAAGCGTCCCTTTAGGTCAAAAGCGGTTTTAGACCGGCTAGAGAACAGCGATAGTAAATCAGAACCACTTGCAGAATTGAGTGATAATGATTCGTGGGGGAAATTCCTCATCAGACACTGAAAACGATTCTGCGACTTTGCTCAGCGATGTACGAACTTGGCGCTCTATTTCACATTTCAATGTTTTTGGTTTGATTATATTATTGAATTAAATTTATTCTTATATTTATTATTTTTTATGATTTATTATAATTTATGATTTCGTGTTTCAAGTTTTATCATACCCGGGATGTTTACTAGACTCTTGTTCGGACAGATTTCAGTGAGTTATTCCTAAAAATTACAGGCCTGCAATAAAAAAACGACATATTTCCATGCAAAAATTTTTTACTGCTTTCAGCACAGAAATACTGACATAATCAGACCGCTAGGGAGGTTAATATATAAATGTACACTAATAAAAAAATGAAGTTATTAAACACAAGTGATAACATGGGAGTGAATCGCTACAATGAGCGCAAATAAATAAGTGCGGCTGTGAAAGTCAGAAAACAAACAAAGTGTTCATATGATGGTGAGGGTCTGACAAACACCGGTCAGAAAATTGTGCCGCATACAGATTCTGTTGCACAGGTGGAATCAAAGAATTCCATGTGACTTCATGGACTCCAATGCCTACACTCCGCACTTATGGAGCCATGGCGGCTGAAGTTTTTTTGCTGCACGCTCCCAGCACAGTGATCGACCTGTCACCTACAACTCTAGTGATGATTGGTTGCTGGCAGGACTGTCTCCTGATCATGTGACCATTGTGACGGCCAATCACAGTGCAATACAATGCTATCAAAACCGCTCCAGATCTGCTTTGTATGCCTCCCGTGGGCTTCAATGACTGCTCCAGGGGCCGGTCTTCGAAGGGAGCATGTCCTGCTCCATGTACTCACTGGCAAAGCAAAGTGAAGCGGCACACTGTCAATGTTGACTGTCATCAAAGGAGCCAAATTCCAGCTTCAGCTTAGTCCCATTTCATTGGCCACGCCCCTCTGATGCATTTTACCCGGATTAGGCTTAGTCAGTCGCAATGGTCACATAATCAGTAAGTCCATCTCACCCTTCCTCAACTAAAGGACTGAGGTGGACAGGAAGGGGTTAAAGACAAAAACAAATATATTGTAGTAACAGTAGGGAGTAACTACAATTACATAATCAAGTTTGAATCTCAGTTCCACTCTTAGTACTCAAATTGTTTTTATGTTTCTGTATGTTTTCCTTTTTTTTTTGTTTTTAAAAAATACAAAATAAAAATTATATAACTTTTTAACCTCCCTGGCGGTATTCCTGAGTGTAGCTCGGGGTAAAGTTTCAGCACCACAAGCGGTAACCCCCCTGAGCTACACTCAGGAATACCTTCTTCACTCACCTTGTCCTTCGCTCCCGCGATGTCCCCCCTGCAGCGTCTCCAGCCATCTCCTCCAGCTGATGCCGGCATCTGTCTTCCGGATTCCGTTCCCTGCAACGTTGGGACATACGGGGGACGGAACTGGCGGGAAACTTAAAAATGTCAAAGAGTGCCGTTCTCTAAATACACTAAAATCACATAGTATAACATTCCTGTATCAAACCATTTCACATACATTTTGTCCCGAGTGCTTTGTCCGGCGCCCTGCCTGCATTTTTACTGTTCTTTCTGCCTGGAAACTGAGAAACGTCCATGGCGTCCAAAAAGCGTCCCTTTAGGTCAAAAGCAGTTTTAGACCGGCTAGAGAACAGCGATAGTAAATCAGAACCACTTGCAGAATTGAGTGATAATGATTTGTGGGGGAAATTCCTCATCAGACACTGAAAACGATTCTGCGACTTTGCTCAGCGATGTGCGAACTTGGCGCTCTATTTCACATTTCAGTGTTTTTGGTTTGATTATATTATTGAATTAAATGTATTATTATATTATTTTTTATGATTATTAAATTATAATTTATGATTTCGTGTTTCAAATTTTAACATACCCAGAATGTTTACTAGACTCTTGTTCGGACAGATTTCAGTGAGTTATTCTTAAAAATTACAGCCTACAATAAAAAAACGACATATTGCCATGCAAAAAATGTACCACTTTGAGCACAGAAATATGGACATAATCAGTTCGCTGGGGAGGCTACTATGTTTGGTATTCATGTTCACGCACCTTGAAAGTCCCATCTTCTCTATTGAATATTTGCAAAATATATTGTAGTTTACTCGTCCTTAGATGTGGTGGCTGCGTTCGTTTTTTTTTCTTTTCCAGGTTTTTCCTTTATTTTTACTTTGTCTGCCAGTAACACCTCCTATACTATTATTATTATTATTATTATTATTATTATTATTATTATACAGGATTTATATATTATTATTATTATACAGGATTTATATATAATATTATTATTATTCAGGATTTTATATATATATTATTATTATTCAGGATTTATATATATTATTATTATTATACAGGATTTATATATATTATTATTATTATTATTCAGGATTTATATCTATTATTATTATTATACAGGATTTATTATTTATACAGGATTTATATATATTATTATACAGGATTTATATATTATTATTATTATTATTATACAGGATTTATATATTATTATTATTATACAGGATTTATATAGCTTCAACAGTTTGCTCAGCGCTTTACAATATAATGGGAGACAATACAGCAACAATACAGTTCAATATAAGAGGGTTAGGAGGGCCCTGATCCTGGGAGCTTACAATCTAAGATGGCAAAGCTTACTCATTGTACTGTATCTATGAAAATGTAGCGTTGTTACCTTAAGCCACTCTCCTGATTTGGACTACTAACCCCTCCCTCTGTACTCATCTTGATTATATAGGCAGGAGGGGTTTCGTAGTTTCATGGAAGATAGCTGGGAAATGTGATAACATTGTTTGAGATTTCATTTTAGTACACAGAAAGTTACAAGGACACTAAGAGTGCAAAATCTGGTGCAGCTGTGCATGGTAACCAATCCACTTTTACCTTCAGCTTGTTCAGTCAAAATGGGAAGCTATGCACTTCTGCCCCAGATTTTGCACTCTCCTGTTTTAATAAATCAACCCCTATGGTCAGGGGCGGACTGACAACTCATGGGGCCCCCGGGCAATAGGGGATCATGGGGCTCCTGTGTCCTTGCCCAAACTCAAAAAAACCTATGAAAAAGGTATCAGGAGCATCTCATGGGGCCCCCTACTGACCCCGGGCCCTCGGGCAGTGCCCGAGTTTCCAAATGGTCAGTCCGCCCCTGCCTATGGTAGAGATTTACTAAAACTGGTTCGCACAGAATCTGGTGCAGCTGTGAATCGTAACAAATCAGCTTCCATGTTTTATTGTCAAAGCTTTAAGGTGGAAATACATGATTAGAAAATCGACCGATTGGTCATCCAACGACCAAGAGGCGTTCGTTCGTTGGTCGAAATCGTGACGCACATTAACCAATCTAAAAAAAATAATTCGGGCAATACGTAGTGTTGATGTCTTCCGTACAAGTGGAAGTGATGCAGTGTGCGTGTGTCAAGGTCCTACCTTTTCCCTGAGGTTATGTTACTCCATGTGCTGGCGTCCATCTTGGATTCTGCTGTGCATGATGGGAATCCTTTTATGCCTTCAGGTCTCTGTGGTCCATCCCCCAGAGGGGTGTGGCTGATGACATATAAGCCTGTGGCCCACACATGCTCTTTGCACTTGTGTCTTGTGTCTTTGTGTTGCTATTACTCTGTTCTGACTCTCGTGACTCTCCTGGTATCTGATTCGGCTTGTGACTTGACTATTCTTTGTATTCTCCCTTGATCTGATCCTCTGTTGCTGAACCCGGCTCGTGACCTGTGATTCTCGTCTGCTGTCCTGTACTGTTTTGTCCTGTTGTTGTTGACCCGGCTTGTCTGACTACTCTTTTGTCTCTTCCACCAGCTACACGCCATTGGCGGCGGCCATTACCGCAGCTGAGGTGTCTCGGGGGCCGCGACCTGGTTCCTGGCTGCGTCAAGTCCATCCCCACCATCAGGGGCCCTGGTGAAGGGCAGCCTGGGACTTAGACTCTGCGCCCTGAGGGACTTCGGTCTGTGGGTAGTGGTTGTCGTCAGCCAGTGCGTTACATTGTTAGGCCTGCCTGTCCGTTCCTCGGCCCCTGCCCTGACATTACACAAGTGCCATGAACCCTGATGGTGCAGGCACGCCTTCGCTCCCAATGCTAGTCGCCAGACTCGATCAACAGGATCACCTGTTGGATCAATTCGCTCAGGCGTTGCAAACCCTGCTTGCACGCACTGCACACCTTGATCCTGGTGCTATTAGGCCAGTAGTCACTCCGGTGGTCTCTCCCGCAGCTTCTCCGCCTATTGCGTCCACCACCTCGACGGCTGCATCAGCGGCGCCCAGAGGTATGACTGGTTCAGCCCCTCTTCCACAGCGCTTTGGGGGTGAGCCTATTCAGTGTCGTGGGTTCCTCAACCAGGTGGGTATTTATTTTGAATTAATACCCCACGCCTTTCCGTCTGAGAGGTCAAAGGTGGGGTTCCTAATTTCCCTACTCTCAGACAAGGCCTTGGCCTGGGCAAATCCCTTATGGGAGAGGAACGACCCGGTGATTCAAGATTTTTCCGGTTTTGTCGATGCCTTCCGTAGGGTATTCGATGTACCGGCTCGTTCCGCCTCGGCGGCCAAACTGCTCATGACCATGCATCAGGGTTCACGGACCGTGGCCGAGTACGCTATAGAGTTTCGTACCCTGGCGGCAGAGGTCGGTTGGAACAATGAGGCTCTGGTGGCTGCGTTTTCCCATGGTCTTTCTGACACATTGAAGGACGAGATTGCAGCTAAGGAACTGCCTGTGGTGTTGGAGGAGCTCATCTCTTTCCTGATCCTGATTGACACCAGGCTCAGGGAGAGGCCTTCACTCAGGGAACGCCTGCGAGGCCTTCCAATCGACTGGCACCTGCGTTTTCTGTCCCACCCGTTCCTCCCTCTCTTCCCACGCCTCCTGGGGATAGCTTGTCTGGTGGGGAACCCATGCAGCTGGGGTTTGCTCGCCTTTCCGAGGGGGAGCGGGCCGCTCGGCGTCGAGAGGGTCGCTGCCTGTACTGTGGCCTCGGTGGGCACTTTCGGCAGTCTTGTCCGGTCCGTACGGGAAACGCTCGCACCTGAGATCATGTCGGGGACAGATCTTGGGTGGAGTTTCCTCGTCCCCGGCGTTCCGCAAGGATAAGCCACTGATCACCGTGGTCCTTTCTTGGACGGAGGGCTCGGTGACGGCCCAGGCGTTGGTAGACTCTGGGGCCGGTGGGTTGTTCTTGGACAGCTCGTTTGCTGTACAGCACTCCATTCCCCTGCAGGCTCGCGCTACCCCATTGGTTCTCGAAGCCATAGATGGCAGGCCCCTGCAGCCGCCGCAGGTTACCCATGAGACTCTGCCGATAGAGGTAGCCATTGGGGCTGTTCACAGGGAGTTGGCCTGTTTTCAGTTGATTTCTTCCCCACACTATTCGGTGGTTTTGGGGTATCCCTGGCTCCAGAGGCACAATCCAACCTTCAATTGGCAAACAGCCGAGATTCTCTCATGGTCTCCACAGTGTGGGGCCGGGTGCATCCGGGGGCCGGTTAAGGTATTGTGTGCCTCCTTGGACTCTGCGTTGCCCACCGACTATGGGGAGTACCGGGACGTGTTTGATAAGGTACGCGCTGGTACCTTACCACCGCATCGTCCTTACGACTGCGCCATATCCTTGCAACCCGGGGCCACTCCTCCGCGTGGCAGGGTGTACCCTCTCTCGGTTGCGGAGAATAAGGCCATGGAGGAGTACGTTGTGGATGCGCTTTCCCGGGGGCACATTCGTAAGTCTACTTCTCCAGCAGGAGCAGTTTTTTTTTTCGTAAAGAAGAAAGGTGGGGAATTGAGGCCCTGCATCGATTTATAGGGGTCTCAATCGGATTACCATTAAAAATGCATATCCGATTCCTTTGATTTCTGAGTTGTTCGACCGCCTTAAGGGAGCAACAGTCTTTACCAAACTCGACCTTAGGCGGCGTACAACCTCGTACGGATCAGACAGGGGGATGAGTGGAAGACCGCGTTTAACACCAGAACCGGGCACTACGAATACCTGGCGATGCCCTTCGGATTGTGTAATGCGCCCGCGGTTTTTCAGGAATTCATAAACTATGTCTTTCGTGATTTGTTGCAGCAGTGCGTAGTGGTTTACCTGGATGACATCTTGGTTTACTCTACCTCCATGGAGTCTCATGTCCAGGATGTCAAGCAGGTGCTGCAACGATTGCGTGAGAACGGACTCTTTTGTAAACTCGAGAAGTGCGAGTTCCATCGATCCCAAGTTGCCTTTTTGGGCTACATAATTTCCGCGGAGGGATTTTCCATGGACCCTCAGAAGGTTGCTGCGGTTCTGCAGTGGCCTCGTCCCAATGGTCTTCGGCCCATTCAGCGCTTTCTGGGTTTTGCCAACTACTATCGGAAATTCATCAGGAACTTCTCCACATTGGCAAAGCCTCTCTCTGACCTAACCAGGAAGGGGAGTAACCCTCACGAGTGGCCATCCGAGGCCATCATAGCTTTCGAGGCTCTGAAAGCCGCCTTTGCTTCGGCTCCGATTCTTTCACATCCCAATCCTGGGTTGCCCTTCGTCCTCGAGGTTGATGCTTCCGAGACGGGAGTAGGGGCTCTCCTGTCTCCGCGTCGGTCGCCCGATGGACCCCTACTTCCCTGCGGGTTCTACTCCAGGAAGCTTTCCTCTGCAGAGTGCAACTACCAGATTGGAGATCGGGAGTTGTTGGTCATCATACTGGCTCTCAAGGAGTGGAGGCACCTGCTCGAGGGTTCCGCGGTTCCGGTCCTCATTCTTACCGATCACAAGAACCTGACTTATCTTTCGGAGGCCAAGAGATTGACACCCCGCCAGGCCAGATGGGCTCTTTTCTTGTCACGCTTCAACTATGTGGTTTCATATTTGCCTGGTTCCAAGAATGTCAGGGCTGATGCGTTATCACGGCAATACTCTGAGTTGTCCAGGGAAGACTCTGAGCCAATCTCACTTATACCTCCAGATCAGATCCTGGCTGCCATTCGCACCAGTCTGACCTCTCCTCTTGGGGAGCAGATTTTGGCGGCTCAAACTGATGCTCCTCCGGGAAGCCGGAGGGTAGATGTTTCGTACCCGAGGGATTGCGCACCCGCCTGCTGCGTACCTACCATAACGCCAAAACTGCCGGGCATCCGGGGAAGAACCAGCTGTGTTGGGTCGTCTCTCGCTTATTCTGGTGGCCAACCCTCCGTGCCGACATTGCCTCTTATGTAGCGGCATGTTCGATCGGTGCCCAGAATAAGTCTCCACGGCATCTCCCTTTGGGTCTTCTGCAACCCATTCCCAATGGGGAGCGTCCTTGGTCACATCTAGGTATGGACTTTATTGTAGACCTCCCGGTGTCTCGGGGTCATACGGTCATCCTCATGATCGTCGATCGGTTTTCCAAGATGTGCCATTGCATTCCACTCAGGAAATTACCCACAGCGCAAGAACTGGCCACGGTCTTTTCCAGGGAGATTTTTTGCCTGCATGGGTTGCCTAAGGTGATTGTCTCGGACCGCGGGAGTCAGTTCGTGTCCAGATTCTGGCGCGCCTTCTGCTCCCAGTTGGGTATTAGTCTCTCCTTTTCTTCAGCCTACCACCCGCAGTCCAATGAGGCTGCGGAGCGTTCCAATCAGGCCTTAGAACAATTCCTTCGGTGTTATATTTCAGACCATCAGGACGATTGGGCCGATCTCCTGCCTTGGGCAGAGTTTGCCAGGAACTGGGCGGTCAACTCCTCCTCCGGGATGTCTCCTTTCAAAGCCAACTATGGGTTCCAACCCGCGGTATTACCTGAGAGGTTCTCACCACAGGACATTCCGGCTGTGGAGAACCATCTTGCTGCCCTGCGTTCTTCATGGGGGCAGATCCAGAGGGCCTTGAGGGACTCAGCTCAGCGCCAGAAGTTCCAGGCTGATCGCAGACGGTTGCCCGCTCCTTCATACCAGGTCGGCAATCGTGTGTGGTTGTATACTCGCAACCTCAATCTTCGGGTGCCCACACCCAAACTAGCTCCCCGTTTTGTCGGTCCTTTCCGCATTCTCCGCAAAGTGAATCCGGTGGCCTATGCCCTTGCCCTTCCGTCTGG